CAGTACGAGAGAGAGAGAGAGAGAGAGGGCGAAAAAAAAATTGTCTCTCGAAAGCTTGGTGCAATTTCGAATCGTTGATTCGTCTCTGGCTTTAATAGATGACTAACGTGCGCCAGAGAGGCGCTCGTTCGAGTTTCCGCGCCGTTATTGACCGTGGCAATAAAACTAGGGGGGTGCAACGTGCAACTCTGCAATCCGATCCCCCATGCGTCCTTGATCCTTTCCCTTGAATATCTTTTTCCGGAATTATCCTTTCCTTTTTTTTTTTCTAACGCGCCAGAATTATCATCGTCGAACGAAACGAGAGTTCAAAGATCGATTTTTATTCGATTTCGTGGATTAATCGGTTAATGTTGTGGATGGAATCAACGGAATTAATGAAAATCGGTCGTCGAACGAACGAACAAACAAATGACAGATTTTTAGAGAATGTTCGAGGAATATTTTGCAGATGGAGTGAGGCCAGTAGGCTATTTGCCATCGAGCGAACGCCCGAGCGAATAGAAAGATCGCGCGTGCCAAGTTCACGAAACTCGAAACTATTATTGCCGACAAGATGTTAACGTTTGCCAAACACATGATGATATTCGATTGTAAACTTTTTTACGCGATTTCCATTTAAAACGAGAGAACCGAGCGATTTCGAAACGATTGCGTTTTTTCTCGCGAAATGAGGAGGGAAAGCGGCGCGGGGAGAGAGCTCGATGATTAATTCGCGATCAAAGTCTCACCTAACGTAGAAATGCTCGTCCTCTTCGAACAGCTCGTCATCGATGACAGAGAGCTTGATGGTCTTCTTGGTCTCGCCCGAATCGAAGGTGAGGGTGCCCTTGGCGCTAATGTAATCGGAGCCAGCCTCGGCGGAGCCATCCTCGGTGCAATAGTCGACGGTGCACGGTTTGCTCAGATCACCACCGGCTCTGGTCACTCCCACTTCGAAACTGCCCACGTTCTCCATCACGGTGTAGTGGCCAGGCTCGAAGAAGATTCTCATCGCGTTCACGTTCTCGATCTCGATGCTCTCGGCTTCTTGCTTCTGCAGCTCGGCCTTCACCTCGCTCAAGTCGCTCTGGGCCCTTTCGCTGATCTTCTTGCTCAGATTCCCAGCACCGACCATCTTCCTCGTAGCCTGCACCCTGTAAAACGCTCTGCTCTTCGGCCCCTTGCCGAGCACCTCCTCGTGCGCCATCACTTCCAATTGTTCCAACGGCAAAGTAGGATATTTCTTCCTCAACTCTCTCAAAGTGTTGATATAGTCTCTCCTCGTCTGCTCGAACTCCTTCGCCTCGGGCGTGTCGGCGTCCATCATGTTGTGAAAACTGTCCTGCTGCGGCTTGATCTCAAGCTCCACCCCGCCATCCGAGTCGCCCGCCTCGGCCTGCACGATCACACCCCTCTTGTTCATTCTGTAACCCTTGTGCAGATACTTGTAGATGAGCAGGCGGCGATCGGCCACGTAGGCCGTGAGCACGGTGGCCGGGAAGAAGGAGAAGGTGAGTATTCCCTCCCAAACTTCGAGCACGCCGGGGCTCGAGACAGCCAGGATCAAGTAGAGCCAAACGTAGGCGAATATGCTCCACGTGGCGGTGACGAAGAAAACTCTCAAATGTTTGATCTTCCTCGTTTCGCCGTTCGGTATCACGAACACGCACAGCGAGATGATGACGAAGAGATTGTACGCGGCCGAGCCAACGATCGTCCCTGGCCCTAATTCACCCGCCTCGAAGTTCTTCGCCCAGATCTCGATGATCGACAAAAGGATCTCGGGCGCGCTACTCCCCAAAGCCATTAACGTTAAGTTGGCCACAGTCTCGTTCCATACTCGCACCACCACGATCTGAGGCTCTTTACCCTGCCGGCGAACAACCAATTCCTTCTCCTTCGAGGTGATCACCTCGATCGCAGCCATGAAACGATCGCTGATAATCGACACGCCGATGAACAGGTACAACAACAGGGAGAAATAGACGAAGCCGCGGAAGATTATGTCGGACAAATTGAGATTCTCCTGCGGCCTCCATATCGGTACCACCAGGCCTGGCTCGCAACGGGTCGAATAATTTCCCGGCATCTTTCCTCCCCGATTTTCTCTCGCGCGCGCGTAACGTCGTAATCGTTTTCACCTTCTCGCCTCGATTCGAAGATTCTCGAATTGTCCGCGATATAATAACGGCTCCGACGATTCTATATTATACCTTCCAAAGGAGGATGAGAGACAAGATTCTAAAGGGAAATCGAATCTTGACGAAAACCTACAATTTTCGATTCCCTAACAGGATCGAATCGCGTTCGATCAAATTATCCGATCTTCCTTTTATCCTCGATGACTTTTTTCTTTTTTTAAACCGTTTTCGAAACATACGACGAACGTACGAACAACCCGCGTCTTCCTTCCTTCGTCCAGTCTTCTCACCACCGTTTCTTTCCCATAGATAACAATATTTTCAACAGTTCCTTCCTTCACGATTTCTACACTTTTATCTCTCTCCTTCTCCACGACACGCACTTTTCACCCTCTTCCTCCGTTTCCGTGTTTTCAAGTCCCCCCCCTTTATCTTCTCCCGGATGTTTATCTTCGAATTGTATGTGTATATAATATATATATATGTGTGTGTGTGTGCCGATTAAACGGACCGCGAGCGAGAATCGCGCGTGTCACCCTGACGGGACGTGCGACATGGATGGGTCGGGGAATCGGCTACCGAGGGAACCTGCCGATACCACCGCGGCAGCGAGCTCCCATCACGAAGAGAATCCTTCGAGCACGGGGCGACAGAACCGTACCGGGCCGTGTTCGAACGAACACTGAAAGAGGAGAGAGAGAAAGCGAGCAAGGAAGAGGAGAGCTAGGTGGGAGTAGACTCTCGGAGCTGCCTAGACGAGGCAGACCTCGCCGCTCTTCATCCCTCCTGTTCTAGCTATCGCTGCGCGCCGCCAACTTTCTCTCTCTGTCTCTTCTTCATTTTTACCTCCCCTCTTTCTCCAACTTTCGCGCACTCGATTCGCCTCTATCGTATTTCGACCATATCCTTTGGATCCTTGTCCTTTCTCTTTTTTATCTCGCCTTCTCTCTTTCTTTCGCGGTATTGTTTTCTCTCTCTCTCTCTCTCTTTCGCTATTCCATTTATTCCACAGCTATCCTTTTCCAGGGGTTTAGACTCGCTCTCGTTCTTCATCGAATCTCTGTCTCGCTCGTGGCCAAGCATCCCTGCCACCCGTACCGGCTAAAAGGTGCGCATGCGTTCCCATCCACCCTCTTCCTCCACCCCAACTGACACTCCTGATCAGCGGGGACACCTCCCACTCTCCGACATATCGCCTCTCTCTAGATGGCTTGGTCAACCTAGGCCAGATCTAACTGGATGGAACGCGGTGGTCGCGTAACACTTCCTTTTTCCACGCCGATTCCCATCCGTTTTCTTTTCTTCCTTTCTTTCCTCATCCCTCATCGCGCTTCATCCTGTCGCTCTTTTAACCCTTAATGATGAATGCATTTTTTATTAAAGAAAGTCAACTTTATTTTATTTATTTATTTTTTTCATTCGAAGAGTCTGCTATGTTATTCTCAGTCATTTAAAATATAAGTGGTATTTTTCTATAATCTCTTCCAATCGTTGCTTAATCTTTTAACAGTGCGAACAACATGAAAATATTCGTGTTAATTCGTTTTAATTACAATCATTTAAATTTAAAATTATTACGCGTCTAGTATTAATATTGTAATAATATATAAGATAAAATATAATAATTTAATAATTTTTAATAACACGCTAAGATTGTTATTTATTATCATCGAAATTTAAATGAGTTAGAATTTCGTAAAAATACGAAATCTTTTTCTCCCTTCTTTTTCTGTCGTAGGAAGAACGAGGAGAAGAATGCGTAATTAAAGACAGATCTCGACAAATTTCTTCTTTTCATCGTTTTCTTTGTCATTTTGAAGAGGAAGGGAGAGAAAGATTCGCACGTTGTTGATCACCTATCAAACGAATAGCTCCTAAGTGGAAAACATTCTTTTCGTTTGTCTACCCATTCTTCGCCTAACGAATCCTCGACATGTTTTGCTAGCCTAATGTATCTCGCCACGACAAAGGGGATATTCGAGTGATAAATACAACTGGATCTTATCTGATTGACTATTATCGATACTTATATCATCTTCAATTCACAATGATTCCTTAACGATCGAGATTTTGTTCCATATATGAAACGAAATATTTTTTCCTCCCAATTGTTCGAATTGAAACTTAAGACTATAGTTAAATTTTACAAGAATTAAATTTAAAAAATCGAATCGAATCATTTCTTTGTATCAAAGAAATGATAGATATGTGATTTAAAACGATCAACGAATTTCGTTCCAAAAGGATCTGAACAAAATACCTAAGTAGTTGTACGTTCGTCGAACGAGTACTTCAACTTCTCGTTACAAAAATCAGACTCTTTACAGTATCGTCGAGCTATCTCCGATCCAAGTGATCTCGTTATCCGTTAAGGGAGCATTTCAAATACTCGAACGATCTTGAAGATCGATAGTAATTTGATGACAAGCTCGTTAGAAGAATCCTCTTCGATCAATTCGAGAGTAACAAGCTGTTTTCGTTCAAGGATCATTTTAATTCTTTTTTATATAGAAAAAAAAAAATCGCAATCTGGCCATTTTAACGACTTCAATGAATGTAATTTATCGTAGATATTCTTAATTGTATCCTTTGCATTCGATGCCAAAGAGATCTAAAATTGTGACAAAAGCTTTAAATTAATGATTGAATATCGCTCTTAAACTCGTCTGTTTCAATATTAATATGTCTACATATGTAAACACATATTTATTGCAAAATTTTCATAGCAAATGTAATATAACGAAAAATTATCTTATAACATTATTATATATTAATATGTATTTATTGCAGAATTGAAAAAATGATTGACAAAACGGAAAAGAGATAAAAAAAAATATATCTAATCTAACAATTCGTAACATTTTTAACTAATATACATATTTGCGTAATGTTGGAAATATCGAAAATAACGAATTAAATCCGAATTCCTTTGCCTAATTAACTTTTTAATTCTGCATATTTCTATCTAAATAAATAGAATTCCTTACTAGTGAATGCAAATTCATAACTGTGTCGCCATCTAGAAATCTAAAATAAAAATACTTCCATTCATTTTTATCCAGTCGATAAGTCCGATATCTAATTACCTTAGATAACTCTATTCTACTGAAAACGAATTTAAAAAAAAAAATAATAAAAAATACGTATTATATTATTATTTAAATTATAATTAGCGAATTTATAAACATTGAATCTACTTTCATGAAAGACTATAATAATTTAATTAAAACTATTATGTTTTAAAAAATATTAAAAATAATATTACGAAACAAACACTGATTTTACTAATCGCATTATATGCAGTTACAAAAATTTTCTGAAAATAAAGCTATGTTAATAAAAAAGGATGATAATTAATAGAAAAAAAAGAAAAATATTTGTTCAATATTTTTTTTTCTTTTTTTCTATCCAGCATTTCTTTAAAAAAATGTTATTTTTTTCAAACGATTATATATAATTGAAAGTTATATGATAAAAAGGATAAATTTAATTTATTTGAAGATAAAAAAAAGTATTCGAAATAAAAAATTTGATTTGGTTAATCTCTTTTTATAATATTCACTATTATTAAGGTATTAATATAGTATAAATTATTACACGAATCAAGAATAATCTAATAAAAAAAAATAAAAATATATTATTTTATATACAAAAGCAAATATTACCAATTCTTCTTCGTTATCATCTAATTCATCCTTGTGTCGAATAATTATTGCATGACGTCCATATTCTTTTTTCCCCGCTTTGAATTATTTCAGCAATCAACTATTAGACAAAAAAGAAAAGAAAACCAAATGTTTAAAATAAATATAATAAGAATATAAAATAACAATTAATTGTATTAAATCAAATTTTATTTTAAATGATCATTATATGATTTATCGGTAATTCTAAAAATCAAAGGTTTATTAAAGAAAAATTATTGATTATAATAATAATAAAAAAAATTAATAAAGACAAATAATTTAATATGCCTATTATTATTATAAATAATTTAAAACGCGTATTAAATAACGAATAATAAGCAAAGGATGAAAGAATAATTATTGAAATAAATACTACGTAATAGATAAATTATATACCTGCTACGAATTGAAACTTCTAATCGGCACGAATTTCGACGACATAATGACACATCGCGGCACAATTTCGATGTATGGAAAGGAATATAAATATCGATCGACGTTGAACGTATATAAACACAGACCTCCAATTTTCTAAGAATTATTCTAAGAAATATTGCTAGCAATGAACGAAACATAAACATAACGTACAACGAATATTTGAATAGACACATTTAAAAAGAAATACGTAAAAATATTCTAAATACATTTTTGTTAAAAGAAATAAAATCTTACTAGATTTTCATACATATAATTGAATTTTATTCCATTACATTTTTATAATTTATTGATTAAATTTAATCAATAATCGAGTAATAATCTATGTAAATAAAAATCAAAATAACAAAATAAATGTATAAGATTAAAATATTAAAAGTAATGATTAAAATCAAATTTTGATTCAAGAAATGAGAAAATATTTTATGATACAAATACTGTCAAATAAGCATTGTAAAATGATAAAGAAGAATAAAAAAACTATCTAATTTTGGAATATTATTTAACAAATAATTAAACAAATACTAATTATATAATTAGATTATTGATAATTATCAATCGTATCACAATATCACTAAAAACTATATATATAATTACGCACAATTTTGCCGGTATAACACGCACTGTCACCACATGCTAATAACTGACGCCATGCAAACTAAATTTGTTAGCGGCTTTCTGATTGGCTGAAAAAGTGCTATTTTTTTTTTTCAAGCGCGCGAAAATTAAATATATATATATATATATATTATATTATAAATTATATCATAATATAATATACTCTAATTAATAAAATATATTTTAAATTTCTATTATCAATTTTATGCAAAGATAAGTCTATTAAAAAATATAATAAGAATAAACTATTATAATTAATTTAATATAAAAATTTTCCAAATTAAAAAAACTGGAACTTAAAATTTAACATTTAAAATAAAAATTGATCAAATCTAAAAAAATATATAATATAAATCCATAGTATAAATTTATGCATCATATATAGAAAGAATACATATTTGACACATCATTTAACTTGTATGAATTGAATTTAACATTGAATTTAATAAATTTCTTTTATCTTTAACGATATATAAAAAAATCTTATAAAGATTGTAAGTACAAAATGGATGAAATAAATATATATGTATATACATGATTAATGATGATATATTGATGATATTTTTTATTTTATTTTTTTCATTCTACGCTTCACATAATATCAAAGAATTAAGATTAGTGATAGTCTTAATTATTAGTAGCAAAACTGATATTATTTCGATGCGCATGTGGTAATGAACGATTAGAATTAATAAAAATGACAAAAATAATAAAAAAATAATAAAAAAAGGTTTAAAACAAAGCTGTATAAAAGTAAATTGAATGTAAGCAAATTGAAAAATTAAAAATACATAAAAATCTAAAAATAGCGATGACTGTTCTTCTAGATTCTTTATTATTGGCAGTATACTTCATTAAATATAATGTCTGCATTTTCTTCCAAAAATAATTCATTTCCAAATATTGCTCGACTTTTCAATTTATCGTGAAAAGGATCGTTTCTCGTCGAAAAACGAGAAAAAGACGTAAAAGTTCTGAAAAAGTATATTTTAATATAAATAATGAGATAAAAGAATGAAAAAAAATAATAGTAGATAAAGCAAAATCTTACCATTGAGACTATAAGTAGTCACTTTCATTGCTTTCGGTCAAAGAATTATCTTCTTCGATACTTTTATCTTGCTTTTTTAATATATCAGCAATTTCCATATCACAATTCTTGATTTCTCTATGTTCTTTCACGTATATCGTTGAATCGTTAAATCTCAGGGACAAAAACGGATTTTCTTCAAGATGTAGTTCCCGTAATGTTCTCAATTGCAAAGAAAACAGCTCGTCGATGTTCGTTATGCTATTATTCTTCAGCAAAAGAATTTCGAGAAATTGTGTCCTTTGAATCAACATTATCGGAAGTTTACTGATAAAATTGTTCGAAAGATCGAGTTTCTGCAACGTTTGCAGTTTATCGAAATTATTGTTGATATTCAAGATATGATTATTGGACAAATCTAGCGATACAATGAACGTCGTGAAACAGAAGCTGTCGCTGGTTATTTCCACGATTCGATTATGACTCAAATCCACGTGTTTTACCGAACGTAACGCGCATATATTCGGAATGGAAATAAATCGATTGTGGCTCATTCGAAGTTCCAACAGGGACTCTAAACCTCTAAAAATGTTCTCTGGAAGCGATTCTATCTCGTTTCTGGATAGATCCAACGAGACAAGATTCGTCGTGTATCTAAACGCGTTCTCCGTAACAGTGTTGATACAGTTACCGGATACGTTCAGATTCAACAATTTTCTCATCTCTTCTAACGACAAGGAGGAATGCTGTTTGCAATTTACACTGCACAATTCCTTGATCTTATTGTTACTTACCGATAAACTTTCAATATTGTATAAAAAAGTTTTTTTTATATCCGAAAACAAGTTATTATGTAAATTCAGATAAGAGATGGTTTCCGGTAAATTAATAAAATCGATCGATTCAATATTATTTCCCGATAGATCCAACGACTTCAAAGAGGGTGCGAATTTTTTTAACGAGATATTCAACTTAGAAATTCCGTTGTTTTTTAAGGACAAACGTTTCAATTTCGGTAATGGATGGAATATTTTATCTATAACAGTTTCATTCCCATTATACTTGTTGTTATTTATAATCAAATCCCGCAAATTATCATGCTGGTTGAACCATAGCATTTTATCAATGGAAATGTTGTTGTTACTCAGGCTTAGAACATTCAGCTTGGTCAACGAGTCGAAAGCTTTAGTAGAGATTTCCGTGATCTCGTTGTCGTCGAGATACAGCTCTTTTACTTCTTCGCTATTAACGAAAAAGTCGCGAACTGTTTTTATACCAATGCGCTCAAAATGTAGTATCGAATTTGATTTACACTCCTCGTATTGTATTATTGGTGGTTCACATTTTTTACACGGAGGAATCGACATTTGGTACATTGGTGGTGCATTGGTGTGGGAAAATATGGGTTGATTATTGTCATCGTATGGATGATATTTGTCATATTGTGGCCGATATTGTCCACCATATACCAATCGCAAACGAAGAAGAATCGCGCCGAGTAACACTGGCCATGATCGCACGAACAACATCTGTAAATTCAAGAGATGTAAAGAAAGATATAACGAAAATGTAAATTGACACATAAAATCGATCTTTCTTTTTTTC